GAGCACTTCTTCATTTTTCAAATTTACAAAAAAGGTCGTTTTTAACAAGCAACTTACTACCATGAAAGATACTAAGATCAGCATTTCTATCGCCGTTTGGGATGGAGGAGGGGGTAACAATGCAATTAATAGTGAGTTGTAGTTTATTTGATTTAAGGGTAATATGGTCATTTTAACAGTTTTGTCCTGTCCTGTCCTAGTCGTACCAAACATGGGACAGACAATTAGTCTTGTCCCGTCCTGTTCTGTCCCGTCCTGTCCAGTTCAGTCTGCGTACCAAACACTACCTTAGACCTAAATCCCTTCTGTTTCTAGCTTTCGCGCATGTGTCCTGCCTCTAGCCTATTTAAGATTTTTAGTTGATAAATAACAAATGGACATGATGGATAAAAATAAATAAACGCTTCTAGAAGTAGCTATTTAGCTATCCTTAACCATATGACCTGCTAGCTTTTCCTGGGGGTTTCTGTCTTCACCATGAACTTCTTCTTTACCAACAACAAAAATGGTATATCCAAAAAAACTTCTAAAAATAGCTATTTATCAATACTTAACCAGATGTATCACTAGCTTTTCCGGGAGATTTTGTCTTCACCAAGAACTTCTTTACCAACAACTAAAATGGCATATCCATGAAACTTCTAAGAATATCTATTTGTCARTCCTTAACTAGATGTCTTACTAGCTTTTCCTGGAGCTTCTATCTTCACCATGAACTTCTTTACCGACAACTAATATCGCATATCCACAAAACTTCTAAGAATAGCTGTTTATCAATCCTTAACCAGGTGTCTTAATTACAACTAAAATCACATATACACGCCCTCATCAACCATAGATTGAAAGATAGGATCCCTAGCCCAGACTTCAACAAGTATTAATAAATCTTCGAACTTTCATCATATTTACCTAGCCATCGACTAAATGAAGAAGTGTGGGTGCTCCATTTGAGCCATGAACCAAGCATACATTGGCATATTTGAGGAATGAGGGAGGCGCTAACTGAAGCTCTCTTCTACTAGATTTTACCCACAAAAATCTAGTTGTGCCTCTCATTGCATTCAGCATATCCAAATTTCAAGTCTGATGGCATCCTGTACAGCTAATGATTGACAACTCTAATATCTTTCCTAAACCCTTAACTAGAACATGACATAGACCTTTGTCCCTAATACYCTCTACATGCACAAGTGCCCTTGTTAGAGTTACAGGTCCTACCTCCTAATTCCACCTCAATACAGACATGTACAAAAATTGGTGTTCACCACCATCACCCTATACCAGGAGTTACCCATCATATGTGGCAGCAAAATTCGTCTTCTACAACTTCCTAGAATGAATAGAACCTTCCAATTTTCCCTCCACCAAAGGGAGCACTTCTTCATTTTTCAAATTTACAAAAAAGGTCGTTTTTAACAAGCAACTTACTACCATGAAAGATACTAAGATCAGCATTTCTATCGCCGCACCCATTAATGACTGCCACATAAAAAATTAAGCTTTCGTGATACTTCTCCCCATTTGTACCCATTTCATTTTGCCATGTAATTTGCCAGCCATCAGTACAATTTCCCAAACTTATCTCTTATATCGACACAAAATCCAACATCCGAACACCATGTGATCTAGAAATAGAAATTTCATTCTTAAACTTCGAATTCGTGAGATTACAAATTCATAACAGAAACAGGACAAGAACACTAAATCGCATACCTTCTTTCTTGACCTTCTCGTTGAGATTCTTAACGTAAATTGTCTGATTAGGTGGTATATCTGCGGTCAGCATCGTCACTGAGAAACTTCGAGTTCCTACTGCGTTTTTCGCTAGTGTTTGTGAGTGAAAAGAGAGGGAGAGCAGCTTCGAACCAGTTCAAGCCCTAGAAATAGAATTAGAAATGTAGGGAAAGTTATATAAACTACCCCCTATGTTTGGATAAATTACAAAAACAACCCTTCAGGCATTAATAATCTCATACAGCCCCCTCTTTTACAACTTCAGATAACTTCATACATTTTGACCAAAATAAATGATGCATTTTTTTAAACAAGATGCATTGAAATGGAATACTTTGAATCAATTCCTATTTTGAAAAACTATTTTTCTTAAAAAATATGGTAATCAGTATAAACATTAATCACTTAATATTATTGACATGATTAATTTTAAATATAAAAACAAAATATATTTATTAGATTTATATTTCAATTGTAGTAAAATAGAAGGGCTTAAACTGTAAATACCTTAAAATGTATAAATATGTAATCATTGTAGCCGTACTTTGATATTTTACTCTCGGTATTCTCAATTCCAATTAATGGACAGTCGACTTCTTGAAATCACTCTTTTGTATGATTTAAGTTGGTTCTTTAAAATGGCGATTTTAAAAGTTGGTTTTTTAAAATAAAAATCAGATACAAATTGGTATTTTAAAATAAGAATTAAGTAAAAATTGATTTCATTTTAATGCAATTTTTTCTTATTTCTATTAATATTATATCTAATCATTATTTAATATAAAAAAGTTAAGCACCATCAAATATTATTCACTCCTTTAATTATTATCTTAATCGTGGAACTCATTAAAAATATAAAAATAAAAATCAAATTAAACCGGCCCACTTGACATTACAGGTCAAAAATCCAACGGGCCCGGCCCTATACTGTAAATGAAACTGGCCCAATTGTAAGCACTTCTACGAAATTACGAGTTTGCCCTTGGGTGCGCCCCCCCTTTGCGTACATTCCGAAATCCATCGAACTTCGCCGTCGTCGAAGTAGAAAAATGTTGCGTTCACTTCTCCGAGCAGTCTCCTCAGCCTCACCGGTGAAATCTACTTTCATCCCCACCGCCATTGCAGCATCAAATTCAACAACTTCACAGCTCACATCTTCCAGAACATTTGCCTCGAAGAAAGCCAAAGCGTCGGCTTCCAAGGGGAACAATAAGAAAGGTCAGCCTAAATCCAAAGCCGATGCGAAAACCAAGTCGAAACAGGAAGAGATCGTATCAGCCTCCGTCGATGATGCAGCTCATGACCTCATCTCCGATGAAAGAAACCGGAGGCGCCTCCTTGATGAAGATGAACGCAATAGTTCGCTTGACGTTGGCCCTAACGGACGGCCGTTGTTTACTTCGGCTGCTTCTTTATCTGAACTAAGTAGAAAAGACGCCTGCACTTACTTGAAATTTAGGTATGGTGTATGTATTATTTTCTACCAATACATCTCTGAATTGCAAATCTCATGCACCGATACGCCTTTGTTTTAACATTTTGAGGATGGGAGCATGGTACATTTTATTGCCCGAAGTTTAAGAATTGAAATTGGCGTGGATTCAGTTCAAGAACTTACTTTGCATTGTCGAGCGTTTCCTGAAGTAATATTTATCTATACTAAAATTAAGTAAATTTTTGGGTGATAAACGATCATTGATTTACCCAATTACTTTGTTTTTAGAAAGTTGATCAAACTGTAAACATACTACCTCCTTTTCTTCTTATTAAGAATGGGTATACTGAAAACGAGTCTGACACAATCATGCTTCTAATTGCAGTATCTGTCTTACCATTTATCTTGGCCATCACTATTTTCTTCATAATTCTAAAGAATCCATATTAATTTTGAAAACTAGTCTGAATTTTTTTGCTTACGTTTGGACTACAGTAGGAAGAAGCTGGAGGAGGTGCTGCCAGAGAGATTGCCAGTGGGAATGGTGAAAGAGTTTGATGAGTCAATGAGAGATGCATTGCTCGTTAGACATAGCTTCTTGGATCTCCGAGATAATTTCAGGCGCATTGTTGACCCACCTTTGCAATCTAGTAATAGCAGAGGTGCGCTTTTCTTCTATGTTTGAAACATATGTTGTGTTCTTATGTATTTTCAGAATTTCTTTGTAGTTATCATTACTAAAGTTAAAAGGCCTGCACATGCTAGTTGCTTTGGAAATAGGTGTACAATTAAGTGATTAACCCATATCTTATATAACAGAAAGATACTAAATGCGTAATTTGTGATACTGAAATCTGTATACATCATGAACCTATGAATCGAATGTCCAGTACTTGTGGTTGATAGAAGGTTTTAATAAGTTGTGGAATATGGTTGGTACTGCTTTAGTACTTGTTTGCTTTGTTGTTAGAATGAAGGCGGATTTGGCATTTGTCAAATTTTGATCTGATGGTGGCACATCATGGTCTGATGATCTGTCAAGGTCATCCTTATTTGTTTCTTCCAGTTGAGAAAAAAGGATTTGTTGGCTAGAAATTTTGATTTAGGTATGGGGAGGATTGGAGGAACAATATCATCAACAATGTTATTGATACAACCTTACTGATAGGAGAATCCATCACTTTGAGGCAAGACAAGAAACCAGATTAAGTTAAATACAGTTATGGTACAGAAAGATAGCACAAGATGGGAAAGAGATGAGATTAAGTTAAATACAGGAACCACGCCATTTTAAATCTTGACCTGCAAAATGAGACCTGGTTTGCAATGCTCACACTTCATCCTGTATTTTTATATTTATATAGTTGAGAGAGAGAGAGAGAGAGGCCTTGTACTACATCTAGGCAATGCTTTTGCAAAGTTGTAGTCGGTTTTTATATTTAGAAGGGGTGGTCCAAGTCTAAAGAATTAGACTTGGATGGGACAATAGCAATATCAACAAGGATGCCTTCTTCCAAGAAAAAAAGGAAGAAACTAAGTGCCTTGATGTTTGGATTTCTTGGTGTCCATTGATGGAGGAAGGATAGTAAGAAGGGCACCGGCGTTGGTGGATGTAGTGTTTATCTGGCTAAAGTAATCGGCAGGGATTAGGGCATGTTCAACTAGATAGATCCTTTTGGAGCAATGTCATAATTGGTATCCTTGTAGGGGGGCGGGGTCAACTGATCTATCAGTCATCCCACATGTAATTTTTGATGTACAAATTTAGAAGCTCTCTAATGGATATGGCTAATCTTTAGCAAAAATAAATTCGTTCTCTGTGCTTTGCTAAGGGAAATGTACTTAGAATTGGGAGATGTCATAGTTGTCAATTCGTGATTTGTATCGGGCTTCAAAATGTCATTGTAATGATAGTTTATGTGTATCAATCAGTAAGATATACTTCAAGAAATGCCAAAACAACTCACATATACCAATAACAAAGCCACACTTTATGTTACTTAATCACATGGTAGGATTATCTGATTGAACTGCTAGGACATGACCCCAAGGTATTGTTCGAGTCCCACCATGATAGTTTTGAAATCCTTGCTTGCCAACATGTGTATGTACAAGTGTCTATATTATTATAATAATAACATAACCTTATACTTGATGCATTTTAGGTAATCAATATTATTTGATCATACATATCAAACAAAGTTGTATTGCTTGTTTTATGAATTGAGCTGGAGCATACAATGTATCACACATTTTGGCGACAGATGGAGATAGGCTGTGAAAGTACCCCATTGACTCTACCTCATCAATTTATGGATTTGGTTTCTCGCATTGTGTTGCCTTTTTAAAATTTTCTGAGGGGAAGTCCTTTTTATCTTCTGATTTCTGCTCTAACACCAGTTGTGGTTTTAAGACTTATTGTTTCTCTTGGTAATGCTGTTTGCAACTATTCTGAACATATGTAAAAACGTGTTGCTCATGATCAGTTGGATTACTGCTCGTAGATGAAGTAGCTTACAGATATGAGAAATTTTTTGTCATTGCAACTTCGCTTTCAGGTTTGAGTGCGCAGAAGCAAATAGTATTGGATGGTCCTGTAAGCTGCGGAAAGAGTATTGCTCTTGCAATGCTTGTTCACTGGGCACGTGATGAAGGTTGGTTGGTATTGTATGTTCCAGAAGGTCGAAGTTGGACTCATGGAGGACTTTTCTATAAAAACCCTCTAACTGGTTTGTGGGATACCCCAGTACAGGCAGCCAACATTTTGCAGGCAAGAATACTGTCAAGTTAATTTCAAGTCTGTAATCTATATCTCCAATATACGCTTGTATCAGTAGGCAATTGAATTTAAGGTCGCTGAATTTACTTCTTAAAGTTTTTATTAGATCTGGTGGTTCTTTGCCCCTAAATCTCTGAAATAAGCCTTCCTTTTCCAATCACAGATTCACATGTTATGGCTACACTCACCCCCAGTTATCTGATTGCTTTTCCTCTACTAAGATTTTGCATATCCAGATATAACGTTGAAGTTAATCCAATCAGTCCTTGGTAGCTTGAGTAATATTGGTCTTCTATACTATCTTGAACATCTAGGTTTGAAGGAAAGTACTTGGACACATATGAGATTGTTCAAATACATATAACAGGCTATCTTGGCTATATATATTGCTGTGAATGGTATCTGAAGTTCATATGGATCCTTATCTTGATTACGTTGGTTTTTCCGCCGCCATCTTCCATAATATGAACAACTTATATATTAGGTGGTGCTGGGTTTTTTTGTGGCTATATCACACATTATTTTCCCGAGGACATAGCATAGGATAGGAGCTCTTCGAGATGCATGACTGCGGTAGCAGACTATGGGTAAGAATGTGTAGCATGGATGGGCAGAGGGGAGTTTGGAGGAGAAAGCGAGTGGGATAGGGAAAGGGGTAGTTCCTATGGCCGTTTGGCAGGGTCTTACCTCTTACGTTGGATAGACTATAGAGGGTTGTCTTATTTTCTCATGCCTACTATTGTGTCTACATGTGTGGCTTATTTGTTGTAAACTAGTATTAACTTTTCTTCTTGTACTAGCAGTAGTTAATATTGTGCTTTATGTTTCCTGGTTTGTTTAACCTATTTCCCTCACATTCAGCTCCGCTGCATGTTCTGTTATTGTACCGTTGCTTGTTTGCACATACACTCATATGCAGCTTGCTTGCTCGCTTGTTTCTCTTATTTTTTGTTTTGTAAGCTTTGGGTCTTGATGGAAACCGCCTCTCTACCCCTTGGGATAGAGCTAAGGTCAGTGTATATCCTACCCTCAAAACCCACCTCTTCGTAGGATATACCGAGTTTGTTTGGGTTTGATTTGGTTTACTTTAAAACCTGTGTGCTTTTTTCCTACCCTGCAGGATTTCTTGAAATACAACGAATCATGCTTAATGAAGCTGCCTTGTAAAATAGTTGCTCCTATACCACTTGGTGACGGTGCCGGTGTTGGGAGGATGAAGGATGCGGATTCGATGGCAATGCCTGAAGGTTCTACTTTATATGACTTGATTCAAACAGGAATCACTACCACACATGCTTCTGTTGGAGTAGTAGTTCGTTTGAGACAAGAGTTGTCACTTGTAAAAGATATGCCCGTTCTCATTGCAATTGACCAAGTGAGTTAACTCGTTCTTTTTCTTTGCAAATTGATAGCTCATTGGTTACTTCTAACTAAAATTACCATTATGATGCTGCTTGCAAGCAGTATAATAGTTGGTTCACATTCACTGAATTCGAGGAGCCAATGACTGTTCGCTCTTGCCGCCCAATCCATGCTAGAGAAGTTGCAACGGTTAGTTTGTTTGTTTTCTATTTTATTCTACAATCGTTGTTGTTTCGGTCTATGACACATCCATTTGGTTTTCTTGGTTTCTAATACTTCCCCCGTCCCAAAATAAATGTCCATATTTATATTTTAGTTTGTTTGAAAATAAGTGTCCCCTTGCAAAAGTAAGTGTCTGCTTTCCGATTCTACCCGTATTTATGAGATGGAGAAATTTATTATGCTCTTTATTGTTAAGGGTAAAAGTTGTCATTCAGTTGATTAAAAGTGTGAACTTGTTGGGGCGATTTGGAGCTGCTTATGGATGGTTCTTTACCTTACCCATCCCCTATCACTCCTTACAATTTCAAGAAGTTGACTCCGTCCCGAAATAAGTGTATGTTTATTTTAGTTTGTTCCAAAATAATTGTCCATTTTCAAAAGTAAGTATTTACTTGCCCATTCTATCCTTAACTTATGAGAGCAAAAAATTCATCACTCCAACTATTATCAAGGGTAAAATCATCATTTAGTTAAATAGTGTAATACTCCCCCCTTCCCAAAAAATGTGTTCACCATTAAAAAAGACACATTTTGAGGAATGTGTAATCATTATACTTTTAATTAACCAAATGGCAATTTTTATCCTTAAGTGAATAATGACAAGGTGCTAAAGAATTTCTCATCACATAATTAAGGATGGAATTGGAAAGTAGACACTTTTGAACGTGGACACTTATTTTGGGACAGAGGGAGTAATTACACATTTCTGAAACCGTGTGCCTTTTTCATCTTGGAGGACTTCTATTTTGGGACGGAGGGAGTACGTTATTTGTTTCATATGGTGTATCCCGGAACTTTTGGTAATGCTCGAACATATGTTCTCTGTATTGAAGCCTGTAGTAATGGGTGTTTCGTGCGTGTTGTCTCCAGGTGAATGCATTTAGGTCGATGATGCATGACAACATGATGGTGGGTGCTTTCTCTCACTCGACAGCGGTGGGCAAGCTAAGGCAAGATTTACCAGATGTTCCGACAAATGCTCGTGTTATGTTTCCTCGCTACACTCTCGATGAAGCTGCGGTTGTGTCTCACTATTACCTGAGGTATGTTACCAGCTCACCAACATCCAATAATTTAGGACAGTATTGTGACAACTACCGAACTTTTTGCCTGCCAATCCTTCTTTCAAGTTATCTTCTACCATCTTATGAAAAATTTAGGTACATTTCTAAAAGAACTCGTAAATTTCAAGGGCACGACATCTATGAAGCATTAAATACAAATATTAATGATTAATGCATCAACAAGTATGAATGGAGGGTGTATGAGTTTTAGAAAACCCCATCCATTGATCCTTTCAAAGAAAAATCAAAACAATTTAGAATAATAGGAGTTGAAAAGCTAATAAGCTAGTTGTTAGCCGATAAACTACCTGATATTTGGTAAAAGGTAAAAACTACCTGATAAGCTAGATGACTATGTAATACGATCTAAAAAGACATGTTGAGAAATGAAAAGGGCATAACTGGTAGAAAAAAATCCTAAAGCTTATTGAAACACTATTTGAAGTAGTTTTTTGAAAAGCTAGCTTTTAAGCTAGTTTACGCTAACCAAATGGACCTTTTTCAAAATAAGCTACCGGCAAATTGGCCTCGGTCATTTATGTACAAAGGTGTATAATAAGGATTTATATTAATTTGTTCAATGACTATTGCAATTACTAAGGATTGTACAAATGTGTATAACAAGGATTTATTGCAATTACTATTTTTTTCAAACATTTTTTTTCTTTTTCAAAAGGATTTATATTATTTTTCCGTTATCGTTGTTTACAAAAAAAAATGTTACACCATGCGCGGCGATCACAGGTACGCAGCTAGTTCCACAAGTTCGTATTTTTTCGTCTTTTTCTACATTTGTTGTTACTAACATCTCCATTCTACAAATGTTGTATCTTATGTACAATCATTTTGTTCTTATTTTCGTGGTCTTGTTGCATAAATACTTTTTTTAAGACATTACTCAACTACTGAAAACTAAAAAAATTCTTGTCCTTCGTGTATGGTTGCCGGCAGGCAAAGACTGATACGTCGTGAAGCATTCTCCGAGGAGGCGTGGAAGAAATTATATTACCTTGCGAATGGGAACGGGTCAGAAATGAGATGGTTGCTTCCCTTCATGCGGTGAGCACACTTGTCGAATTTCTTACTGGATTGCAAGAAAATCATACACAAAATGGAAGTAGATTGCCTTCTTTCATCTTCTGAAACATCTTCGACTAGAAATGAAGAAAATAACGCGCTCCTTTTTTGGATTTCTGAAACGATCTAGAAAGAACGTAACTTGTGTTCATACAGCTAAAGAAGACGGTATATGGTGAAAGTTTTACGCAACTGAACCAGCATGCTCGTTCCATGTTTTGTTGGTGTGTAATGTGTAACAAGGAAAAAAAGACGAGATCTTGGGTATTTTATTTTAACGGAGGTCTTTCTTTGACTCGAGAATCAGTTGTTAGATATATGAATCTTTCTTATCGATCGGGATTTGGTCTTTCAGATTGGTATTTTTTAGTTAGGCTTGGTTATGTTGAATGTGTGAATTAGGGGACGTTTACCTATGCTGTTATATCGGTCATAATACGAAATATCGGTCAGGACCGATATTCGATATATCGGTTATATCGGTCCAAAATAGCGGTTAACATAATATATCTTAGAATTATATATATAATATGCATTAATTAGAGTTTAGAAATATAGTTTCAAAATTAAAACATCACATCATCTAATAAATAATAAAATTAGTCATTTGGGCTTTGGGACTGTTAGTCTAATAGTCTGTTACTCATTTGGGTTTGGGCCTTTTGAAATTTGGACTGGAGGCCTGGAGCACTTGTAAATTTCTAAGCGATAGCTACCGCCTACCACTTACCAGCCGGCCACAGGAGACAGATCACAAGTCACAATTCACAGACGTACGCATATCCGCCGACCGCCATCGCCTTCCTTCCCCCCTTGACCCTTGTAAGCGACGGCCGGTAGAGTGAGCAGCAGACCAGCAATCAACCTTCGGCTTCTTCCATCCCCGTCCCGTTGCCATCCCTATCGCTGGCTATGTTGTGTCGATTACAGAGAAAAGCAGAGGAGATCGAGAAAAGAGACTGAGAAAAGAGAAGACGTTGTGAGAAGAAGTCGAAGACTCGATGTTGTGAGAACTGAGAAATCGGAATATCGGTCCGATTTTTACCTCAAAATATCGCTAAAAAATCACTAAAAATCGCCGATAATATCGTTCCCGATATTTAAGGTCCGATTTTTTTCCTAGGAGCGATATCCGATATATCGCCGATATATCGACGATATATCGCGATATTAACAGCATAGACGTTTACTACCTTGTTGATTAAGCATGGGAAAGACTGAGAATCTTATCCGGTAAGAAACATAACAAGGACTAAGAATCTTACCCAATAAGTGAAGAAAAACAATCCTATGCGACAAGCGCTTACCAGGTTTAAGATGTTAACCAACAATTCATTTTGATGACCGACAATGTTTACACGATAAAGGAAGTGAATGAAATATCTCTTGTTGGTAAACACTTATGGTAAAAATGGCCTCTTAGTTGAGGTCGTTTTTTTTAATCCATGACCTTGTTGGTTTGAGAATGTCAATTTCTTATACAAATTCCTAGAAACCTGTTAGCAAAGTCATGGAAAAACACTTATTAGTAAAAACCACCCACATTTTGAACCTTGTGTTAATGCAGAAACACATCTCGAGTGTTGAAAATGAGGTTGAAAGGGGTTATATATTTTTTTTGGCAACATCTTCAAGTTTGTCCAAATAATACAATTTTGTAAATCAATAGATTGATACTGAATTGAACTATTCAAATTAAATGAACTATGTAGATCCCAAACAAGTTTAAATGTAATGATTCGTCCAAAACTTCACAAATTCCAACCTCAAGATGAGCAAGAGTGAATTGATACCGGAATCGAGTTTCATTTAGGTAAATAACTTTAAATAAGATTTTAATTAATATTTTTTTTTAAATTAGGTCATGTATTTAATTAAAATATCATTTAAAGTTATATAATTAAATACTTCCACTGAAAAAAAGCAACTTGAAATGAGAGCCATTGCAAAAATCGAATGAACTGAAACAAAACAAAACAAAACAACACCGAAGGACAGGAAGGCAAGGGAATCGAACATAGATGTCACAAAGGTTTAAAATAAAGCTTTCTTCTTTTTGACACTACGATAAAACTGACTTTATAGCACGTCAAATGTTTATAAATAAACACTTTATGTTTAAAGAACTAAACAATTGTGCATTCAATATGTTGCCATAAGTTGACAAGACATTTTAGATGTTCTAACTAGTTTGTTTAGAATACTTTTCAAATAAAACGTCATATTAATTTTTTTATATTACATTATTTGGAGCAATAATATCTTATAAAAGCAAGTGTTCTATAAATAGATAAAATGTCCTATTAAAAAGCTAATAGAACACTTTATTTGAAAACACTTTATTTCAAAAGTATCCTAAAAAACTTTTTACGATATTGAAATACGTCCCAATATCCTATTGTAATAGTACACATAATTACTTGGTCTTATAAACTTAAATCTTGTAAAAGGAGTCTATTAAGACATTTATTTGGCGTCCTATAAAACTGAAATTGTTGTAGTGCGATGAAGTAGCGGCGAGGGTTGACGGAAATACAATTCAATCCACTGAGAAAAGGTGATACACATTGCACATCACTTGAACAAAATCCCAAATCAACCAAGTAGCTAGCTCGGTATACATAACCAGACCAAACTAACCCAGTAAATACCACACAAAAGTAAGGTCTAGGGGTAGGATAGGACATGTACGCAAAGGCATTCACATGATGGAATTATATACCCTTAAGAATTTTTACATATACCCAAATATCCAACCATCTATCATCTACTCGACCTATGATCGAGGATGTTTTCCATATACGATTAGGAACAGTAAACTAATTACCAGTATACCTCATCATCGTTGAAATCTTCATCAACGATTTCCAGCATCTCGTCTTCTGACAAACCCTCGTCTTGTCCTACGGTTTCAGATCTTGAAGATTCACTCTCAACTTCCTCTGAATTTTCATTGGAGCTTTCACTATCATCTTCTTCCTCTTCTTCCTCCTCATCAGGATAATCGTTCAACGGATTGTCTTCAGCTGAACTCCAAAAAAGAAAAAGAAAAAAAAGATACCATGAGAAACTTCTTTAACGCTTAAGGGTCAATTTGGTACGTGACAGTATAAAAACTTGTTGTTTCACGTTTGTTGTAGCATCAGACTAGGACAGGACAGGACATGACCTGAGTGGAACAAGAATGGATGTTCTTTGCCCCCCAAAAATTGGTGGAAAAAGAATCAGAGTGATGAGGGCAAGATTGGTAAATTACTAAACTACTCATGACAAATTAAAACCTTAAAAGATTGAGGAATTATTTCTCCCTCCTGCCTCCCTCTCATCAGTTCAATCATGTCCTGTTCAGTCCCATCCTCATACCAAATGCACCATTAGGAAGCTTATAACCATATATATATATATAGAGAGAGAGAGAGAGTCGGCTTCATATGAGAACAGTAACAAAATAAGAAAATAAAAAAACAATCGAATCACATGTGATTCCCGCGACTTTGGCTACGACCTGAGGTCGCGGGCCACGTCGCCGGCATACCCTTGTATTTACTGTTTGTGTAAGATCACATGTGATTTTGCATGTGATTTGGCCGTTTTCGTGTTCTTTTAATTAGTTATTGTTCTCGTTTGAACCTCCCCCCCCCCCCCCCNTCTCTATATATAGTGTGTGTGTATATATGTATGTAATGAAATCTACCGTTAGAGTCATCAGTTTCATAATCTGAATTATCTGGGCCATCATAGAAATCATCATTGTCTTCGACCTGGACCCTATACCCAAAATCCAGGCATGGTTTTTATCAAAGGCCAGTGCATTTAGATAATTCACCAAAAACGTAATCACTAAGTGTAGAATTCTTACAATGGAAATGGGCACGAAGCATTTTCCATTATCATGCTGGTATCGTCATCCTTGACAGCATACAAATCGTACACATAATGATCCTTGGATACTGTTTAATCATGACAATAGATAAGATGGAATTAGTGACATTCTTCAGGAACAATTGAAGAAATTTGAGTTTTTCACCAATCAATGATCAGCCCAAAATGCAACAAAGTTTGCCTTAATTCCTATTTAGTGTAACCATTAACTTTTTGTTCTTAATTAGTGTAACAAACGTTCATTACATCCTATTTTGTACCCATTTTGACCGGTAACACAAATATCTTGTAACCATCGATGAAGTGAATGTCAAGTTGTCAAGTTATATTCTTATTACGTGGAAAGGTGCCACATCAAAAAGTCAACCAATTCCACGTAGGCTGAAACCCCGTTTATCAGGTTAAATTGGTATGAAAGAGGAAGAACTGAAAGTTTTTTACACTAATTGAGAAAAAAAAATCATCGTCACACACTCGCACTAAATAGGAACTAAACCAAAATTCTTTTGCATTTTGATGCATTTTGGCCATGATTAGAACTATAATAGGGAAAAGTTCAATAAGAGCGAAAACAAAGAGCAAAACCTTTTCTTATCATTTGATGTTCCATTTCAGATTCAAATTCCTCTGCAGCACTTGGAATGAATTCATGTAATAGAGGCAAAAAACTGTACATTAGTCTCTGATCCTCCTCATCTCTGCATCAGTATTAAAAAACATTAGTTACAGCCTAGAAATAATAAACGACACCAGAATAGGTTAAAAAGGACACTCACTCTTCCTCTTGCACCTCACTAGTCTCCCCAACATCCACACGCATAACATCATAGATCTGGCACATATCACGCAATGCATCATCAGATGCAGCGTTGCTTTTCCCCTTTCGACTCTTCCATATTTGCTCAAAACGAGCATTCTTTGCCAAAAGCTGGAGCGGAAAGATTATGAGGTCAGCATCTAATATAGCAGCTAGTGTTTATAAATATGGGAAAAACTAACATATTATAAACTCTAAAATCATGGACTAAAAACGGAAAGTTGAAAGCTTGGCAAGTTAAGGGCTGAGTAATTCTGCCACTTTGAATCGTTTGATTGTTAATGAAATGGTGACATAAATTACGCAAGTAAATCCACAAAACAATATAGTTAGTTTCAACAGATTATTATAACAAGGGAACCGAGAATTTACCATCATCATTGGCGTGAATTTTTTTTCCAGTACACATTCAAGATCAAGGTCCAAATGAATTTAAGATCAGAAATGGACCATGTTCTTGAATTAGTAAAACAACAGAAAACCAACGAATCCAGTCATTCCAGTGAATCCATAATACAGAATGATCCAAACAATTGAGCACAATGGATGCAATACAACTTGAGTCGAATGCATGGTATTATAAGATGGAAGCCATAAATAATAGCATCACTGCCATACACAATACAGTAGCAAATATGTCTAGATTCCAATTGCCTCCCCCTTTTCAGCTACTAGTTGGGAGAAAACCTTGTTACTAAGTGCTTTCTTAAATCACCACACTGTAAGGAAATCACTATGCATCAGTGAATTAAATATGATGCAAAACTAGAAAGAAAAATGATTGGATGATTAATTGAAGAGAAATACAACTCAGGGTAAATCAAGTGAAATATATTAGCATGTGACGATATCCCGACTCCAGAGAGGACGAAAAAGGGACTATGGAACCATGGCATCTGATGCAAGAAAAAAAGAACAGGAGACGAAAGACATTAGCAAAAATATGTGGTCAATATACCTCTTGTGTTTCTTTAGCTTTGACCAGCAACTGCTTCTGTTTCTGCAGAGAAAAAAAAAGGAACAGAACAGACCAAAAATTTAAGATCTAACACAAAAAACAGCTTCAGCTGAGAAATCGGTGAAAAACAGGTATCATATACACCAAGGAGGTATATCTGTCTTGTCAAAACTGTTAGAAGGTTGCAGCTCACTATTTGCATGAGTTAGAACATGGGTTCGTCGTATAAATTGGTAAGTAGTCAAACTAGAATGATTTTTTATTGTCAATGCATCAACTGAGGCAGGGTGATGATCTGAAACTATGTGAAAATTTATTTCAACCTTGGTAACATTTTTTCCTCAACCAGAATCCCAATACGAAGATAAATCATGAGACAAACTCATGTTGACAATAATCAAACAAAATCAAGATTATGAATTATATTTTATAGAACTTATTTACAGGGAAAAACTTGTTCAGGAAGGTTAATGAGAAAGAAAAATTATCAAGTTGCTTGTAGAATCCCAAAACTTTAGGAATGCAATTGTAAGTCGCATAGTTTGAATATCTTTCTGCATCTTTTCAGAAGACCATGTATAACAAAAAAGATTTGTACCAACAAAAGGGATCAGAAGATAATATTCAGACATGGCAACTGAAGTTTAAGCTGTTCATTCCAGAGAGCATAATTAATCATATCAAACATGTATTCAAACATATAAAGTGTAGGACGCAACAAGCAGCAACAGTAAAATAAATGATTACTTTCTTCATGAAGGCAACACAACCACCTTGAACTTGAAGATGAAGTACAACTACAAACTATTATGCAACAGTTACAGGTGAGATAAAGCAAGCGCTTCTAGACAGCATATAACCCAGTATTTCACATATGCTGAAAGCCTTTGTATAATCCATAAAGCTCATGACCAGCTTCAATATTCAAAAGGAGCGACAATAATAAAAGATACTAGTTCTACCATTCCAAAGAGTCCATAATACCACTATAATCACAGCATACACAGATGTGCAATTTAACAGAGATCATAAGATATGTAGCATAAGTATATGGGAGATACGAAGTGCAAGATGTTAGATACAGGCAAAGGCAGAGATCTTACATTGTCAGTCTTGTTACTACGCCTTTGGTCCTCAAGTTTTGCTTTAGAATCAAGTATGTCAGCAGAATTAGGCTGCTTGACAAACGGTAAACAATAAGAACAACCAACAAACAGATTATTCTATGGATGACAAACAAGGATGTGCTAAACACACAAACATGTATAGGCCAATAAGATGAAAAGGAAGCAATCAAAGATCACCTTACTAGCCACAAATGACTGAAGAATATCCACAGCAACATCAGGGCCGCTCACGGTATCCACATGTTGCACAAGAAACTTTTTGGACTTCAACTCTTCAGCTGCAATATGACAAATAGCCATCATAGTCATTGTAACTAGACTTTGTTCATTAATCATCCAACAGTCATAATTGGAGAATAGTTAAGATAATTAAGCTACTGAACTTTATTGTTTACCGAGAAACAATTCACAAATAATACCATAACTATCACAAACAACCTACAAAGCAGCACATTTCATTAAATATTTGCAGTTTAAGAATTAATTGCACGATCAAATGAAATAATGAATTTTAACTCGAACACAATTAAAAAAAACTGCTCGCATGCAGAAAAACACACACAACTACCTTTGGACGCTGAATTGTTGATAGATAGCTTCTCAAAATCCAACAATGGCCGCTTCACTGGTCTTTCATTGATTTCAAGCCCTAATTACACCAAAACATTAGAGAAATCATACAAAAAACAGCCACAATAACTTGAATCGTCACGTAAGCATACTTTATAAACGTATCTACACAAATACACAATGCAAAAGTAGCAGAAGTATAAATGAACTCACAGAAAGCTTCGAGTGGAGACTGATAGCTCTTCCGTTTAACCCTAACAATCACAGGCTTATCGTCCTTCAACAGATCGGTTGATGAAGTCTCCGCCACTTCCGCCATCAGCAAAGTCGGAGGGAAGGGTTTGGTGAAGAAAGAGGGTTATAATGTTCGCTTGCTCAACAAAATATTAAACGGAATCAGCCTCATTTGTTCGAGGCTTCAACTTTAAACCAAGGGGGAATAAATTATTTTTGATGGAGGTTAGGTTAGATATTCAGATTAATAAAAAAAATATATTTAATTATTTAAAAATATTTGCAGATTTATTTATTCGATTTTAAAGAGTTTATAAATTTTTTAAAATTCTAATTTTATGACCAAATTACCCTTTGAACCTAACAAAATTTCACAATTTTTGATTCACTGTTGAACATATACAAAGAAAAGGCAAAATTCATTGTATTTTGATACAATTCACCATAGTTTTTACAACAAATACGATGGTCGTTTTACAGTCCCTCTCCACGATCACGTTATTCGGACAAAAAGAAGGTCCATCATCATCATCTACATACTCTCCAACATCTCTACTAAACCAAAACAGACGCGGTAAACCCCCACACAGATGCATGATCCGGGACATATCTAATGCCATTACGGTCTTTAAAAATAATACACGTTCAAGCAATCGAATTCTCAGCAGGTCAAAACCCGTCACTCGTTCCTCACCTATAACGCCTGCCTAATCGTCGACAGAAAACAAGCTCAAAATACAAACTCCTCTTCACTAGTTCCGCTACTTGGTGTTGCTCGATCCTTCATCCCTTGCAGCGCTTCGGCTGTTGAATCGTTGATGTCCAACAGGTACTGTAATCGTGACAGCTTTTCGGGTGCCGGATTGCTCTTCAGATATATTAGAAAAAGATCCGCCAACTCTTCGGTCACCTCCCACGATAACGGTGATGCGGGTACGGCCTTGTCACACGCTAGCAAATCGTTCAGAGAAGAAACCTGCATCGAAATAGAAAAAAGGGATTTGAGATTAACGCGGTTCGTTATAGGGGTGTTCAGTGCGGTTTAGGACCAAACCACACCATATAAGAGGTTTGAAGATTTTCCCAAACCGCACCGCAAAAGTTCTAAACCGAGTTTGATGGTGTGGTGTGGGCAGTTTGGCAGTTTAGATGAACACCACCCCTAGTTCGTTATAATTTTTCTTCTGCAAAAATGGTATGTTAAATTTTGAGAGACGAGATATCTGTAAGCAGCAACAGCATAAATAGAAGCAAGTACAGATAAATGGATTTGTTCTTACCACCCCTGAAGTGTTTCTCTGTCGAAGTAACGATACAGCCTGGATCAGAGAATTCGACAACCGAGTTCGTGCAAGTTCGTGAACAACGCCTCTGGCCTTCTCGGCATCGATACTGAGATCTTCCGGGATCTTTTCGTACACTTCCACTTCATCAAACTCTCCGGTCCCTGAAGAAAATATATCATCTACAGTCTTCTTGAAAAGATTCTGTCGTAAACTCTGCGACACCATCACATCTAACTCGATCCCAGATCCTTTGAGCTCACGGATCTCCCGGATACTGAGCCGTCCCTGGCCCACGGCGGTTTCAAGAGCAGCCGCCATTTTTGTGCTCGTTATGTTCTTTATTATCTTTTGAGCATACTCGGATGGCAATCCGACCTGCCGCTGCAACTCGTTTAGCTGCGTAACTCGGGCTTTTGTCAGCTGCCCGTCTGCCAAAATCACCTCGGCTTGCTGCCGGAAAGCCTGTTCGGCTAAGCTCCGATGGACTTCAACGATTTCTTTGTCGTTCAAGCCAAGAATTCCGCCCAACTGTTTCAAGAAAACATATTCAGAGTCGTCCTTTTTTGTGGTGATTTGTGCGCCAAATGGGACCCGCGTGACTTCTCCGGTCAAACAATAGAGCAAATATGTCTTGTAAAGGTCAGTTCTGTCCCTGTCGGGAAGGTCGTCTTTGACGGTTATATCAGTCTGGCCTGTCTTCCCGATATTCGCTTGGCTCGGTTTGACTTTTCGAAGCGTTTGCAATGACTCCCACTCTTCATCGTCTACTTCCTCCACGGGTTTCCATTCCGCCTTAACGACCTCATCAGTCGTGGTGGTCTCGGGTGATTCTCCTTTGATATCCGCCACGAGTTCCGTCACCACCAAGTTGTTGAACGCAATCATCTTCTTTAGTTCTCTTGCAGCCTCTGTACGACTACCTGTTGCTCGTGATCTTTGAATGTAACTTATGAAAATTTTCCGAACCTGCATAAAGTAGTCATAATGATGACGGATTGACTACAGACGTATCGGAATCATATGACAATCGTGAAAAAGCACTTACAGCCTTGCCGGCAATAGACATGGCCACCTCCCTTGTTAACCGTAGACCATATGCAGCCTTCCTTACGGACTGTTTAACATCGAGATCATACCCATCTACTCCTGAAGCTATAGCCTCCTTGACAACCTGAAATATAATTTTTATATTTGACGAAAAAGAATCACCACATGAAGTGTAAAAAATATGAATCTAATTAAACTTGAGCTTGTCGAGTATTGGGCGCGTTTGGTATGCATACAGGACTAGACAGACGAGAGTGAGGTAGGAGGGTGAAAGAATTGTAGAAGGTTTTAGGGTTTTAATATGACAAAGGTAGTTTAGTAATCTACTATTGTCACGTATCCCTGATTTTTATTCCACCTATTTTGGTGAGACAAAAATGCCCCTAAAGGATGCGTTTGGTACACTGGACAAGACAAAATAGAACAGGGATCACTTTCCATGTTTGGAAGGACTTTTATATAGAACGGACAAGAACAAACGAAGTGGAACAGGCGTGTTCCACCCCCACCCCATGAAACAAGATGGAACAGACCTATATTTTACCAATATAACCTCAAAATAAAACTTAACTTTCTTCTAAAACATCAAATATGCCTCCCTCTTTATATTTATTCATTCTTTAAACTTTATTTATTGTATTTTATGCTCTTTAAATTCTCACTTTACTCTCTTCAGAATATTATTTTTATATGATTTCTATGTTATGGTTAATTTATGTAATTTATTGAACATTAATAACAAAAAAATATTATAGAAAAGGTATAAAATAGAAACTGGAAACTACATGAACTTTTTATTTTGGTGTCATTTCAATCAACTAAAACTTTCTAATGAAATATCATGTTATAAACATTTATTTTCTTATAATTTAATGAATTACATAAATTATTCAAAATATATAAAAGATATAAACAACTCATTAGAGGTAAATTGGTCATTTTATTTTACCTGTTCTATCCAGTTGTTCTGACCTGGCCTATCTGGATACCAAACTCACCCAAAATGAACCAGAACCCCTTATGTATATTAATTACCTTTTCGAATAAAGCGCCACATATTTCCTCATGGATCTTCTCAACCGTTTGTTTAGGAATGCAAAGCATAACTTGCAACCTCTCCAGCGCCTTAACCTCATCGTCACTAAGCTCTCCATCTTTCACGGATTGCTGAAGCTTTTGTCGGTATATTTCTAGAAAACAAAAATAGACATAAGAACTTTACGTTCAAGATATAAAATCTTCTAAGCTTTAACAATTCAACTCAAACAACAATTTTCCTGCTAAAAAACTTCATTAAGGATTGTTTGTTAGCAGGTTAATGAGCTTAATAGGATTCGCAACTTATTCTGTCAGCTATACATGACTGTTTGATATTGGCTTGATGATATAGAAAGTGGGTTGTTTGGTAAGCTTCTAGGGGAAGCTCTACGCAGAAAGCAAGTTTTTTTCCAAATTTGTACGCCCAACTAAAAACACGCTCCTTCCATCTATAAAAAAACCTTCCCAATCTATACAGACAGACTAATCCACAGACAACTTTATCCATGCACGACTTAATGGAATACCAACCAAACAGCCACCAAGACTTCCTGCATCCCTGAATATGTGCCCACATTTTCTATTATAGTTTGTCCCAAAGTAAGTACAGACTTCCCAATTGTACCCTTAATTATGAGATAGAAAAATTCAACACTCCCTATATTATTAAGGGTAACATTGTCATTTACTCCCTCCGTCCCAAAATAAAAGTCCATAATGAAAAAGGCTCACAGTTTTAGAACTATGTAATTATTACACTTTTAAATTTGCCAAATGACAATGTTAACCTTAATATAGAGGGAGTAAAAAAAACTCGTCAACTCCTAATTAAGGATAGAATTGGATAGGCACTTACTTTTGAAAGAGGACACTTATTTGGGAACGCAGGGAATGGTTGATTAAAAACTATACTAATTACACATTTCCAAAACTGCGTGCCTTTTTTATTCGTGGACATTTATTTTGGGACAAAGAATATGTAAACAGAAGTTCTTTGATTGTTAACGACATGAAATATATGAAAAAAGTAAATTATATTTTCGTCTCTGTGGTTTGTCAAAAATTTCAATTTTCGTCCCTATGGTTTAGAAATTGCAGTTTTCATCGCTATGGTTTGTAATTCATTGCTATTTTCATCCTTATGATTTACATTTTTTTGTTATTTCGGTCCCTGTGGTTTACAATTCTTTACTTTTTTGGTTCCTTGTACTTAAAGGTAGGAACTAGTCTAGGGATGAAAATAGCAATAAATTGCAAACCATAGAGACTAATATCGTAATTGCTAAACCACAGGGACAAAAATCGTAATTTACTCTCGCAGCATAAATTACCTTCATGGATCTCAATGGCCTTCTCGGTATCGAAGTGCAAGTCCTCGCAAAGTTTTTGAAGGAAGGCTGCTTTACTATCTGCAGCTTCCAAATCGCCACCGGTTACGGATTCGGCAAGACGTTTACGATATACTTTGGAGGTAACATCTATTGCAATTGATTCAGCTTCCCTTCTACCCAAGCCGAAGATATTCCTCAATTGGTTCAGTGCAGCAAGCTATAAAAGAGAACAAGAGAAGAAATCAAGAAACATTATAACCAAATCAAACAAGCCCAGTACATCACACCTCCAACGTGGGTCCTTTTTTTTGGGAGGGGGGCGGACCTGGCCTCTATCCCAAAGAGTAAAGCGGTTGTTTTCGTGAAGACCACCGGCTTGTGCAAAGTGTGCAGGAAAAAAATAAGATGCTTTGCATAGGTTGGAAACAATCAATGAACAAAATTTGGTTGCTGTTATCCAAACGCACCATTTGGGTGTTTGCTACACAAATATTCTGCGGTGATTGTTGTAAGTTTAGGTTCCATTTTTATGCTATTATCCATTTTGTGGGTCCCATCTTCATTTTCGTGAATGCAACGAAATCCAAAAACCACATATTCGGTTCGCCTCACGTAATATAAATACCAACCCAAACGAGCCCAGTATACCCCACCTGGAGGTGGGTACCTCGGTGCAGGGCCTGGTGGAGATAATGTATGCTGACTTGACCTCTACCCTGAAGAGTAGAGGACAAATCCTTGGTTCTCCTCACGTGATATAAATGGGACCAATAAAATGTAAATGTTAATGCAAAACGGATAGACTGTAAACGCATCTAGACCGATGTTCACAAGTTCAATTCAACTAATATAAATGGAATCCAATAAAAGGGAAGTTTGATTCTGTACCTTGTCTTCCTCCATACGACCCATTGATAGAGAATCAGCAACATATGCTCGGTAGAGGAGCTTTAGGTCATCCATCTTTCTGTCACCATCATAGTCACCGCCTATGCAATAAGTAATATTAATACCAACAAATAGAACAAGAAATGCAGATATTATACGGAAAAAGCTATGGTGGATAAGAGAATCACTACCTATCAAAGAAATTGGACCAACCCCACGTGCAAAGCGGCTAGCATCAGGATGGTTCTTCAACGAGACTAGCAAGTTATTGAATGTCAATACCTTATCAAGTTCCTCAACAATGAGCTTGGCTTCCCTGCTGAAAATTTAAATTCTTTTTAGATAACATGAAGGCCACACAGGAAATAAGATCAACTTCTATTATGTGCCCGGAGTGCATCGGGCGGGTCGAGGGGGCAAACCAAAATTCCTATCGGATCTCAGATATGAAAACCAAGCCTTGAATTTTGGGTTTTGGATTTGGATTGCTTCGGGTTCAGGTTGGTGGGGTTTCGGGTTGAGGCCAGTCAAGTTCGGGCATAGTTATAAAGCAATTTATATATATATATATATATACTCAATTGATTTTGAGCATGAATTCAATCAGTTGAGAGGATTGATGAAATCGATAGTAGGTTTAGAAATTAGAAAACAGTACGGCTGACTAAGATCTAGGATTTTCAAAAGATAAATAGATAATCAAATAAATCTATTATAAAATTTAAAATATATATGTAAATATATTTCTGGTTTTTGGATGGGTTCGTTGACCAAAAATCAAACCCAACCCAAACCCAAATAGCCCCCCAAAAGTCGGTTTTAAATTTTTGAAGTTTGGTGCATTCGGGTTTTGCACACCCTTAGCCCCAGCCATCCCAAAATAAATGCAAGATTTGACTGCACTTATAGTTTATGATGAGTGTTTGATTATTAGTCACATATCTAAAATACCCCTCAACAATGACACAATAAGGGAGCTTTTTGGGCTGAAATTGATGTTATTGATTTTTATGATGATTACTGATGAGCAAAGTTGTAATCTTGAACTGAGAATCATCAAAAGAGAGAAATGTCACATTTATTTTGGGGTAAAATGCATCAAAATGAAAAGACGTTTACTTGATTCCTATTTAGCGACAAATAACCTTTTTTCCAATCAATGTAACAAAGTTTCGAATTTTCTATTTAATGTAAAAAAGTTTCAAATTTTCCTATTTTTACCCTTTTTGACCAGTAACCTGTTGATCTTGTAACAATTGACCCTTATGTAAAGGGGTATCCACATCATCAAATGTTACAACATTAGTAGGTTACCGGTAAAAACGGGTACAAAATCAAAATATGTGAAACTTTGTTACATCAATTTGAGAAAAAAAAAACATATGTTACACTAAATAGGAACAGAACATTGTTGCATTTTGATGCATTTATCTCAACAAAGAACTTTTTTTCCAGTCAGTTTAACAAGGTTTTACCCATTTTTACCAGTAACCTGTTGGTCTTGTAACATTTGATGGCATGAATGTCATGCTTATTGTCCACTCCCCGGGGACCCTTTTGCAACGGGTATCCACGCATCAAATGTTACAATATTAGCAAGTTATGGGTAAAAATGGGTACAAAATAAAATAAAAATGGAACTCCGTTACACCGATTTGAGAAAAAAGTACCCATTATACTTAATAGAAGCTAAACAAAGATCACATACGCTGTTCTTGTCCGGGACTTGAGTACGTTCACGCTTTTTGATATATTTGCTTCAACAAGCTTTCTAATATGCTCCCTAAACATGTCTTCCGCTAGCTGCAAGAAATGCAAACCGATAAATAAACAACTACATTTGGCCATCGGATATAAGTTGCTCATACCATTTAAATTTTGTACCTCATCTGAAAGTCGACTCTGTAGTTGTGCATCTCTCAGACTAACAAGATCTTCAGCATTAACATCTACGAAATGTACCAATAAAGCAAGTAAATACATATGGAAAAACAGTGATTTAATAGATTACACAAGTCTAGTATTGTAGAACGAAGCTGCTTCAAGTGAAATTTTGAGTAAAATGAAAGAAATGGCGTCAATATTTATAATTGTTCTTAGAGCATGGTTAAATAGTTGGTGGAAAACTTAATAGACCAATATAACACAAAAAAGTTATTGAACGACTGAATAGCCACATGATACCATTTATGCTGTACAATTGTGTACAAATAGAACCCACAATCACATGTTCATTTGTCCTCATACCATATATATATATATATATATATATAGAGAGAGAGAGAGAGAGAGAGGAAGTGAGGTTTAGGGGAAACCCCCTAAAAATAAAAAACTGAGGAGCACCCTAATAACAGTTCATCTTACAGTATGTACATGTGCATACAAGTAACTGAAGATGTTTCCTGGTTTCTTTGCACGTGTGCATGTGTATGCACATGTGCATGCCAAACATATTACTTGTATGCACATGTGCATATCGTCCAAATGAATGGTTATTAGGGATGTTCCTTACTTTTTTCATTTTTTGTCAGTCGGCTATACATGATTGTTTGGTTGTGACTTAATGATATAGAAAGTGAATTATTCAGTAAGCTTCGAGGGGGAGCTTTATGCGGAAAGCCAAAAAAATTCCAAACTTGCCCCTCGCAATTAAAAAACATACTCATTCCATCTATGGAAAAACCCTTTCAAATAAAAACCTTCCTAATCTATACAGACATGTTAATCCACACAGCATCTTTATTCATACAAGAATTAATGAAAAACCAACCAAACAACCCCTTACCTTGGCCAATTAAGTTTAGCTTGGAAGCATACAGCCGTTGTGCATTGTCACGTATAGCAACCTCAACCTGATGGAGAAAGAATCACCATAATAGAATAACCAAAGAGTTACCCGAGTTTCTTTTGTGAACGTAGACATAATTTCTTATTAAGCTTGTAATTGTAGAAAGCAAAAATGGTGTATACGGTATAACTAAATTAATCTAATACCTGTGATTCCGTAACCTTGAACACACGCTTCCAAGGTAAAAGAAAGCCTGAAGCCTCACCAAACACGCGGGTTGAAACATAAATCAGCTTCTGAAATGCCTGCACTGGAGACCCCAACAATGATCAAGCTCTGTATCTTCATTTAGCCGCTGTTTACTAAGTGCCTATAACCTCTTACCGGGTAAGAGATAATGTTGTTGACCGAGATGCTGACCCGGTAAGAGCGAAGAGACCTACTTAGAGGCTGTTCACCAAACGCTTGCCAGGTAAAAGCTTACGGTAAGAGTCAATGCTCCCACTTACTTTACCGGGTAAGATTCTTGGCTATCAAATTGGCATAGTAGGCGATAATCTTACCCAGTAAGCGCTAAGAGATAAGAGTCTCCACCCTCACTTACAAGGTAAGATTTTTGGTCCTTGCCATCCTCACCCGCTAAGGTAAGTGACCCAGTAAGCGCTTACCCAGTTGGCTTTTGGTAAACGGCCCCTTACTTGGTCGGAGCATCTTACCTGATAAGCGCTTACACAATATTTTTAGTAAACAGCCCCTTAGTCTACTAATTAGTGTTGAAATGAAAAGTAGCCTACCCGACGCTGTTCTGCATCTGCTTCGCGATCACCGGTTTCTAACCGTTGCCTGAAAATACGCCTACCAATCTGTTGAGCAAACACCAAAAGAAACAATTGAAGAGGAACATCGAAAAGCAAGACACCACCTAAGCTTTTTCCACCCATCAGGACATCAAGAAATTAAATCACGATTGTAACAGTACCTCCATATGCATGGCAGCTGCATCAGGGTCATCAATTCCCAACGAGTTTTTGAATTTAATTATAATATCAGCTTCATCACCATTCAGATCTTCACCTCCAGAAGGAAGTACAGAAGAAACATATCTGAGAAACAAATAATATGAGAGAATAGTAGCAAGTATTGATGAATAGGATCAGTATTACGTTTCAAACACTTCATGAAAGCTAAAATTACCAGAGCAAAAAATACAAAAATAGTTCTTCTGTGTAGATAGCCTCATGAAGAAACTTGATAGGATAAGAGAAAAATAGAGATGTTGTTCTAATATAATCTATATACTATATTGTAAAGCATTTTGCTCAAAATCTTAAAAATATCCCTTTACGCATTTAGTACCATTGATTAATGCATATCCCTTAAAATTCAAGGGTACATATAATTGTTTCATGAGTACAAGTTCATAAAGCTCAATAACCTAAGTACAAAAATTCCTAAATAAACCCTTTTCATACGAGTCACTCATGACCCACAAAATACATATGGATAGTTGAGAATGACATCAGTCGCCATCATGATAGGGATTAAAAGAGTTATAGATATGAACAGAGGCGGACCTAGAAAGTTTCTCAAGCGGTGGCACCATTTGACTATAAAAAACGAAACTATGGATATTTTTTTACAAAATCATCACTAATCTGTTGGTTAGTTACTTGTTTTTTTGTATGTGAGGTCATGTGTCAGAGTCTTTTATACCAAAAAAATTCAGAAACAAATAAACCTGAAACTAAAAGCTAAAAACTTAAAAAATGATACAAATGGGAACGTGCAAACCAACTCTACCAAGGAAAACTCGTGTTATTATTGTAGTTACAAAGAATATACGGTTGCACCCAACAAAATAATATGGTGGCACCTTTCACGACCCTAGAACTTTTATACTACAACGGAGGAAAGAAGCGGTGGCCCGTGACATCCTATCACCATAGTGGTCCGCCCCCTATATATGAATGAGAAAGAACAATGCATCTCTTATTACTACTCACCGGCAATATATATCACAAAGCTCAGCATTGAAAGCTTCATTCTGCTTGCTAACACCATATCTGAAAGATACATATATAAGAATAATATTAGCATCAACAATTAAGATACCCGTTAGCAGGACTGGTTACTAATATAATATGTAAATATATTACAACTCATATTCTCTGTTCCAAATAAATATAAGTCCAGATATTTTTTCTTTTTTCTTTTCCCTTTTGTTAGAAATAAAGAGAATATAAACATGTTCCACTTTCTCCAACTGGAATTGGCTCGCAGCCTCTAAGCCGTAGCTTGTGGCTCACTGATAGAAAACAGAAGGAAAGTAATGGAAATTGGATTACTAGAAGGGAAAAAATGAGCATAAGCTCTACAAAGAACTACCAGAGTCAGGGACTCCTCTCCAGAAAATTTCCTAGAACAGACAAAAATAGCAAAATAACTGAATACCCCTTATTCCCACCTCATCACTAACTTCATTCCTTTCCTAACGACCTGCTGCCTTCTCTCTCCTCGTGTACACCTTCCAAACTATGGGCTTCTTACCCATTTGAGTGACTATGGGGTTTAGGGCCTCAAAATCAAAAATTCCTAACACTCATACAATTGTAGTTAAGACCCTTTTGGTAATAAGATCTACCCTTCAAGTTTGACCAAACCAGTACTTCTAGCAAAACTGGTAAGATCTCTCTTACACTTTGAACACCAATGCTTCCTTGTTGCTATACTTCTTCTAAAAATTAAAGTACACCTTTATGCCCGACAAAAAAGATTCGGCTGATTATCACCTTTTGACGTTAAATTTTGATAAAATTGTTTTGTACTCATCAACATTTGCATTAGTTTCTTAAGACTTCGAAAACCACACCTGAGTTGGTGAAACTTGTTTACACACCCCCAATTTTAATGTGTCTGGCAATACACAAGAATTATGATCTCCATGTTATGTGATTAAGTTTCACCAACTATAACAAGTCCAATATTTGCATGCTATATGAAGTGGTTAAAAATGTGTGCTAGCACTAACACAAATATATATATATATATATATATATATATAAAGAGAAAGACTCTGGTTCAAACGAGAACATAGACCAAGTAAAGAACACGAGAACGGTCAAATTACGTGTGGTTTTACACTAAAATCACATGTGATTCACACGACTACGGCCGCAACATGAGGTCGCGGGCCAACTCGCCTGCTCAACCTTGCATTGACCGTCTTCCGTAATCGCATGCGATTTCAGTGCAAAATCACATGTGATTTGGCTGTTTTCGTGTTTTCTTATTTTGACCTTGTTCTTGGATCCTCCCTCCCTCTCTCTCTCTCTATATATATATATATCAATTTTCACAATTTTGGATGGTTGGATCACCTCCTTCTCAGGGAGAACTTATGATTTCGACACTGCTTCATACCAAAAATATAGGATTTCCCTCTACCTTCAAGCAGTGGCACTACTCTTTAGGGTGGAGGGTAAGTCTTTGTGCATCCCACCCTGTACCCCACGGGGCCGGTTCTGGTTTGGTTTTCTCTACCTTCAATTAAGATAATCTGACTAACTTATTAAACTAAAACAATTTTGGTTTCCATTTAGCATCATTTCTTACAACTATAATGTAACAAATCCAATTGACTTCTATCAAGAGATTCGGGTTTTCTAAGTTATTTGGAAGAACCAGGGTCAGAATGGGTAGGTGGGGTCAGAATTGGTTTCCAGAGTCTCACGTACTTGAGCCTGGTAATTCTCTGGAGTGAAGTTTCGCATGTTGAAGCAGCAAAATCTTTCACCCCAATAAGAAGCATGTTCTCCCATTAAGCAACAAATTGCCCTTTAAACATCCATGAAAATTGCACTATTTCCATTCATGATATCTTCTACTATGAATTTGCTTATCTGCCCATTGCAAACGTTAGCAGTCATTTATATATTCTCTTATTTAATACTTTTATTCTTGAAACAATTGGTTAATGGTTGCATATAAAGCTAAAATCATGAAATCTGTAAACATAAAAGAGTTTTGTTTCCAGTGATGGAAATAAACCTGCTAGCAATGCTTTCAATATCTTCTTTCTTCAATGCCCCCGGATCTGAACCCGCCACGTAATTATGCAAACTCACGGCAGCAACCTCCGGAACCGAAGAATTCAACGCGTAAACAGCGCCAGCACCGGCAGCACCCAGAACAACGGCCCCACCCAAACTAGCATTCCAGGACCCACCAATACGTAACCCCAATCCATACCCAGCAGCAACGGCGCCGGCAACGACAACAACCGAGCTAGCTAACCTAACAGCCGGCGACATAGAATCCACAATTGATTGGAATGCCGACAATTCCTTCTTCCCTCCAAACACATCGGTTACGGGAGTGGTGGTGGTGGTGGTGGAAGGTTGGTCTGCTGATGATAACGATGAGGAACAACGAACGACAGGGATGCGACAGCTGTATCTGTGCCGGCGGCGATTAAAGGTGAGGAAATTTGTTGTGATTTTGAGAGGCGTAGGATTAAGAAATGGGGTGAAGAGGATAGTAGTGTTAGGAGAAGATGGCTGTTGTGTTAGAAGAATTGAAGGGTTCATGTTGAAGAAGTTCTGACACTTTCTACCGGCGGTAAAACTCCGGCGAGTTAAGACGACAGGAGGAGGAGTAGGTGGATGAAGAGGGTGGAAACAGGATAGGGAGGAGAGAGGGCGGAGAAGAAGATAAAAGGGAGCAGGCAGGGTTTTGTAAAATACTCCATCTTCCATAATTTCCCCCTCAAGTTTCAATTATATCACTAATATACCCTGAAGTTTCAACTACAATACTAATATACCATGAATTTTCAATTATAGCACTAATATACCCTGAAGTTCTAACTTTTAGAATATTTACCCAAAATAATTTAATTTGTTAAATTCTTAATTTTATTCTAGTTCTACAAGTGGTTACGGTGGTCTCCCTCCACAATTTGATCAACACTGCACAACTAATATGACACCATATAACGTTTCATGGCTTACGTGACATGTAATTACTGGAAACCTGATAGCTCATATTTTTTAGAGTTATTTATTACTGTTTTCTAAATTTTTATAGAGTTTATTTACCCATTTTGTTTCTATCTATCTCATTTTGTCTAAATTGTTCTTGAGAAGTGATGAATTTCCAAGGATTAATTTTTGTACTAAAAAAACGTTGTTGTGCTGGACAGTGGGCATTATTTGCTCATTGTGGGCATGTTTGGTGCTACTTTTGGAGAAAGAAATGTCTTGTTTGTATGTGATCCATGGAAACAGTATTTTGAATATTTGAAGTGATTTGAAGATCTCTGAAAGATTGGAGAAACAGTAAACACATTTTGTACTAAAATGATTAAAAAATACTTCATACGTTGGACAAAGAGCTATCATCTGAGTTCGTTTACTCTTCTGTCTAGAGATTTAGTGTAAAATTTAATTTTCAGCATTTAATTTATGTATTGTAATTTGCAGTCCACATTCTGCCTTATGTGGCCAAGCCGTCAATTTTATTTTCAATGCAAGCATTTTTCAAGTATTTATTTATCATTTTTTTTCCCAATTCTAGTATGAGCTAATCACCTCATTGGGCGTGAGTCAAACTTAAGGCTAGTAGACAACACTTGGGTGTTATCATCGTTGTTAATTATTAATCTTGGTCACTTAAATCGAGATTTAAAACTCAACACGGATAAATCGATCACTTTAAACCGTTAGTATTAGAATTTAGACTCGGAGATGGGCGGGTACGCTATATGCTTAAGTGATGCACAAAGATTTGAAAAAATATTTGATAATCACTTAGAAATACGGGTTTTCCATGTTTTGTTGATGTGCAAACTTTAGACGAGCTTTATATCACAAAGAGATTTGGGTATAAATATTTATACTATTCGAACTTGATTTTTATATACCAAATTTAGTTAAATCGGAAAGATTACGAACCAGCAAAGGTGGGTACTTTGTGGGCACACAGTCTATAAATATTTACTTTCGTGAGATCGGGATTTTTATACACTATTATGTGATGCACAAAGTATCTGACTATTTTGTTACTACACCCGCCTTAAGAAAAACTTACACTCATACTCATCTTTTAATCATAAGTTTATTTCGTCTTTCAAACATTTTCAACCAACAAAAAAATTTGATTTTTATTCACAACCTAAACATGCTTAATAAGTTCATGAAACTCTCTGATTATCGGTAGTCAATTCTCTGCATAAACGATTTTGGTACTATACCCCTTTATTAAGTTGCTAACAAGCAGACCTTTAGTCTTTTACTTTAACATAATTTATGAAATCTTCTTTAAAATGAACAAAAATAGAAAGGGAGAGGGTTAAAATCTTTGAATTTAAAAAAAAATATTCAAAATTGATTGTTTATGAGAGATGAAGGGTTTTTAAAGGGTGAGAATCCAGATTTTTTTTAATGTTTGAGAGAAATGAAAACAATTTTTTATTTATTATATTAATATATCTATATCTATACTATATTATAAAGCATTTGKCTRAAACTCTTAAAAACTCTTAAACTCTTAAAACTCTTAAAAACTCTTAAACTCTTAAACCCGTTCATCCCTAAACAATTTCATCTCTATCCGATTTCATCCCATAACTGAATTC